AAAAGTCGTATCAAAATGAGTAAAAAGCCATTCCATGAGCACGCAGTTTCTGCTTTTGATCATTTTGTGAAATTAAAATTCGTTTTTCGAAAGTTTCCTCTCACTTTATCATTGATGCAGTGGAGATTTTCAATTGATAAGAATGCTTTGATGATCAGGCTTGTCAGATTGTGCCCCAATCTCCTACTCAGAAATGTCTCAGGGCATCAGAACTGAAGAAAATTGACCTTTTCTTTCACGGGCTTACCACGACTATTTCTAGCAGGAATTTTCAAAAATGTTATTGATTAGCCACTTGTCAAAGTAAGCGAAAATCTCGTTCTCGGGCGGATTTGAACCCGCTCTTCGGCTTAGGAATTGTTTTGTTGCTAGGGAGCAATTCACTGTAAGATTTTTAAGCAATGTTCAAGGCTGAAATTGTTGGAAAAACAGAAAATCCAAGTGTATTCGGTAGACCTAACAGAAACACGAAGATTTAAAATGACATCCAAGTTTTCTGGGATGCGCCATGCTCCCGATATCCTTTTGAATCTTATGCGCGATTGAGATGAAATAAGAGGAACTAAGATCTAAGATTGGAACGAATTCTTCCTTCTATTTCTTTCAGGAAGGAACTAACAATTTCGGTAACGGGTCGTACGTGGAAAAGTGAAGACGTCTACGGAGAACGAAGTAGAGCAGCAGCAGCAGCCGAACAAACAATGCCCAATGCGAGCACACTATGCCTTCGCACGTGAGTGTCTGCAGCTTTTCTGGGCCCAACTACTTATATGCGAAAAATATTAAGTTGCTTTTTATTACACCTACTTATTGATTTTCATATCTCAAGGCTTTTCAAAAGCATAACTTTGCCTCAAGTGACCTTACCACAGGTTTACCCCTCCCCATGTCTCCCTGACTCTGACTCAAGGATTGGCAGATGGGCAGCTGGAGCGGTCAGTAGCGGCTTGAATTAGGAAGTGGGACATGAAAACTTAACACAATTGCCACATAAAAGCATTAAAATAGCGGTTTTTGCTTTTTTCCATATGGTCATTTGAAAATTTCCCTTAGAGAGTTCGACCTCAACCGTTTTCAATACATCATGCCCTTCTAGGACTATTTGGGTACAGTGAAACCTTTCAAATCCGTCGCTAATGATCCAATTCACTAAATACTACCTTACCATTCAGGTTGTAACTTACTGCCATCCCTTCCAGGTAATATCCTTTGTCGTGAGTTCTGTCCTAGTTTGCCTTCTGGGTTTGGCGCGACTGTGCACGTTGGGTGGCCATTGCGAAAAAGATGACTGGCAGTCGTGAAGTGGAAGAGTGCATCTTAGGCTTGTACCTGCTTTCTCCTGCATTCCTGGGCTAAAACCATTCCTCTGCGTCGCTAATCCCTTCCTGCACCCTCTACGCTGAAAGCTTTCGGGTTTCTCTGATGAAAATTTTTGAGTCGTCCTTATTATCACTTTATCGCTAAGATAGCTCACTGCAAGAAAAACCTTTTTAAGGTCTCAGCATACGGCCTTAGGGATTCCACGTATTTCGAGAAAAAATCATTAAAAAATTCATCTTTAGATCACGCGAATTTTCCTATATACATGCAACTCATTTCTGATCCCAAAATTCATGTCCATTTAGTTTTCGTCAGTTCTTGTCCACCTTTGCGCCTATCCTCACGATAAGGCATCTCATATCACGTATTCCAACTACTGATTTTCCTTTGGGGCAGCCGACGTACCGTANCGAACTATGTAATGTAATCCTTATACCCCAACATGGTTCTTTAGTCATTCCCATAAAGATCCTCGCTTCCTGAGAAAGCGGCTGTTCCTAGGCATACTGTTCTCGAGCATTCTGTACTCGAAATCCCGTTGACAAGTGAGTGTAAGGTCCTAATCAGGACCTAAAGTCAGCCTCTGGCACTTTAACTCTGGTTTTTGCAAAACCCGCGTGATCGAAGATGGTCTTTAGCCACCGTATCCTCATCAATCTTAGGTGTTAATTGTGATTATGTTTATTTTGTTTGTTTCAATTTCTGAATAAATACACAAGGTCTTTTCTTATTCCTGGTTGTGAGATTGCTTGCAATGTGACGTGAACAAAGTTCACTTCAAGAGTTCATTCAAACTTTGTTGGGTTACATCAGCAGCAATCACCGAAAGTCTTCTTTGGTTCCTTTCTGGAAATGAATTGTGGCCAGAAAAAAACTGGTCTAATAGATGTTTTAAATTAACCCTATTTAAGAAATGGTATGGAGCAGCAGCTGTCCGTCGATGCGTCGACTTCATCTCATGAAACCAGCCCGAAACGTCCTCCTCAACTCGTACTCAGTTCAAAACATAAGAAGATTTTAAGGGTGAGAACCTTTCGCTCGTGGAATCGTCTTGAGGCCTCAGTTCATCATCTAAAGTGTGTTTTGCGTGTGTTAGCCTCATACGAGTAAACAATCATTCTTAGAGCACATTCGCGCAAATGAATTCCGGTGGCACATTCTTGAAACTAATGGAGCAGGTATTTCGACGTCTAGAAGCAAAATATCCGGACATTAGGTTCGACATTGATCATTTTGGGTGAAAAGGTATGAGTTCCTGACATTACCATATTTAGGTCAATTTTTTTGACGACGGCGTTTGTTAACTCACTTTCACGGGAGAAAGTTTCGCCATCTGTTGTTCGAACGGAACACGATCACTCCAAATGCTTGGTAAGTCTTTCTTTCTCCCTCTCTTCCTTTCTTTTCTCTCTCTGTAAACAAAATTAGAATACTCTAGAACTGGCCTTTACTGGTCGGAACCAAGAAAAGCGGAAAGTCATCCTTACCTCTACAGTAATGGACTACCATTATCGCATGCTCATGAAAAGTTTCTATTATCGATCTTGGGCTGAAAGAGGGGACATGGACGACTCTTTCTGGGAACGGAAGAGCTTAATTTCCTGTCAGACCCGCGGTCCAAAGCCGCCGCGAATTTTTTTTTCACTTCGAGAACTAGTTCACTGTCTCACATATTTTAACTTCCGAACAAGTCATTCTGAATGAGGGTGGAGTCTTCAACTCCTATGCCCTGTTTGACATTGCAATCGGATTCTCAATGTTCTTTCCGAAAATTGCCCCCTGCTCCCAGACCACGTATGAACATCGTATCCATGTCATTTGCTTACAGGAATAATTGTTAACACTAATATCTCGTTCTGAATCCCATATAGTCAGGTCCAGCCGCACCAAACCTCTTTCAGTTTCAGCTAAATCTTCTTTTTCATTTTCTATATTGCGATGGTGTAGTGGCAAGTGGCGTACTATATCACACGCACAGTCATGGGTTCGAATCTCGGATCGATGCCCGCCTAGGCCAACCGAGCCTTCCATCCCCTCTGGGTCGGTTAATTGGTACCAGACTCGTCTGGGAGAATAAAAGCACTGACTTGTACATCGGCTGGCCCCCGCAAGTCATTGTAAAGGCCACATACGCACTCATTAGGCCACTACGATTCTGAATGGAAGTCGACTGTGGGGGCGCATCCCTCAGACGGGATTGATTAACGCCAAAAACTTTATCCTTTTATCTTTATATTGCGATCGCGTGATTCCTTGCAGCAACTCCAACTTGAGGGCATACCGCTACTCGCATCCGTCGTGAAAGTTTAGGTCAGACTACTCTGCAGAGATAGTAACAAGCTCTTTCAATTTGAATTTGACAAAGTGTGGGAAGTAATACAGAGGACAGTTAACCGTCATAGTATGGGTAGTTTAAGCACTCGCTTGCAAATCCTTGCTTACCAAATATAGAGCGGTTGCAGTGGCTTCCCTTTCTATCTAGCATTTTCAATTGCCTATTTCACCTTATTTATCCTATCGCTAGGCGTGTTCCTCGAAGCAGAAGCTGACATGAGCTTCGTTTCAGAACTGTTCTACTCAATAATTTATTTCAAAAAGGGAACATCAGTAAATGACGCTAATTTATGATTTTTTCATGTGCCATTCAATGTTTATTTAACTAGCAACTTGACTCCTCGGTTTTTACTAATTACATCATTGAGATTACTCTGTTTTGTTCTTTTTCCGATTGTGAAGTTTTCATTTTTTAGGTGTCAATGTTTGAGAGTATCATGGATTCTCTGAATGACACAACTACTCAACCAAATACCACTGCCTCAATACGAACTTATGGTGAAAAGCATGCACAGGTACGGTGTAACAATGTATTTGGTCTCGGTATGAAGGTGTGGTATAGCCTCGGCCAAGATGATACAGCTTTTTATTCAGTCAACGTTTTGGCGTTCTCGACTTCGTCAGGACCTGGAAGCCGAGAAGTATTTGAGATTCATCCAATTCAAGCACCATTTCAGACTTCAGTTAGCTCAATTATAAGCTACAGATATCTAAGTATACCTACGATACCTTCTTAGATATCTGTAGGTTATAATTGAGCTAACTGAAGTCTAAAGTGGTGCTCGAATTGAATGAGTCTCAAATACTTTTCGTCTTCCAGGTCCTAACGAAGGCGAGAACGCCGAAACGTTGACTGAATAAAAAGCTGCACCATCTTGGCCGAGGCTATACCACACCTTCATACCGAGACTCAAACGATGCCAAGATTCATTAAAAGTCGCTCATGGTCAATGTATTTGATATATAGAAGTACTACTTCTTCAATGGGTGGAGGTGGTGTAGTGGCAAGTGGCGCACTATCAGAGGTGCACGATCCTGGGATCGAATCTCAGATCGGTTCCCACAAACATTAACCGATCCTTCCACCCATCCGGGGTCGGCTAATTAGTACCAAACTCTGCGAGGAAAGAAGCACCGACTTATACATTGGCTACCCACCCCAGGTCATTATATGGGCCGCAGAGGCATTGTATACATCACTACTATACTGAAAGGAAGTCGAATGCGGGAGAACGTCCCAAAAACGGGGCTCATTAACTTCAGACTATTTCAATCTCTTCGCTTTATGTTTCAGTAGAATCATTATGGCTTCAGTTCAGGGTCTGTACTTCGGCATTTTGGAGGTCTTTGATAAAATTGCTCTAATATGGGTAATGTTGCTCTAATATGGGTAGGGGTAACCACCCAGACAGTCTAGCATGATGTTGTAGTAATTACCTCAACCATCAGAGTGCCGCTTATTTATGATGATATTTCAGATGAAAGAAAGTGGCATGTCTGGAAGTATGATCGAACACTTTGGAGAGATCTCAGTTGCGGTGATTGCATCGCAGGCAAGTTGCCTTCATTTCCTTTTTACTCTCTCTAACATGTGGTGGGCTGAAAAGTCTCAAAGCTATCCAAGAGCTATCGATAGAAAGAAAGGATAAGCAGCCAAATAGTGAAGAAGTGGCAAGTGGCGTGCACTACCACACGCACAGTACGGGCCGGTTCTCAGATTGCAACTCCCTCAGACCAACCAAGCCATCTACCCGGGGTCGCTTGATTGGTACCAGATTTGTCGGGGAGGATAAAAGCACTGTCTTGAACATTCGCTACACCGCATATAAATGTGTAGGTTACATACGCATTCAAACGCCTACAAGGGGAAGAAAAGGGGGCGACATACCAATGAGGGATTGCGCCGGAGACTATCCTTTCAACCATACAATTTAGGTAACCATCCCAAAACACTGTAACTAAACATTGTTATCCTTCATGAACAAACGAATTTTTATCCGACACTCTACTTCTTCGGAAGGAAAACGCAGATTTCTTTGTCTCCCGTTTCGAGAAGTTGATTCATCAGACTTTTGAGAATTTAGTCATCGACTGTGTATAGTCGTTAGTCGTAGCTTAACAATACTAGTATATCCCCTTCTAAGGTCGCCCATATTGACAAGTTTCATGCAATACCAGAGAACACCTCCTCCCCCCTCCCCCTCCCACCTTCCATAAGAAACATTTCACAAATTTTGCCACCGATCTTTTGAAAATACTACCCAACGTTTAGGATGCGATCAAATACAACCACGATGCAGTAAAGGCATGGCGCCTTTTGCTCGCTTACGTAACGGACGAGATGATGGTCGGCTTTGATCGCTCAAGCCGAATATCCGAACGGAAGTGCAGCGCCAATATATGTCTTCGGAGAACCTAGACAAACTATCAACGACTGCTCCGTGTAACCCGGTGAACAACTCCTCCGAGTACAGCTCTCACCGAGCCGATGTAGGCCTCACTTCGTCCGCCTACTTGGGTAGAAGAAGCTCATCCTTCGTACCTCTTTAATCCACATGATCTATTTGAGTATTCGAAATTCATTCAATAAATTTATAAACATGGTTGACGTTGTTTACAAACAACACTGACCTTGTGTTGCCACACTCTGAGGTATTCCCTCTGACGATGAGAACTTTACCTCATTTACATTACTATACATCTGAGATGAACGATCCGAAGTTTGGTGGGTAAAGTCTAGCGCAATAACACTTAAATATCAATGTAAGTTCCAAACTGCTTCTGAAAAACGAGAGGAAGGCAGCAAATGGAAGTCTTCTTATCGGTAACTTCATAGCAATATAGACTCATAAAAACAACAACAATAACAACAGCGCTGGGCTATCCGTAAACACCAAAATCACTGCAAAAAAGATGCAACTCTTACAGAATTTCGTTGATAATTTAATGCGACAAGACCAGGAGCAGGAGACATCTAGCCTCAAACTATTTCTGCCCTTCATTTGAATCTCAGGGGGTCCCCTCTGATGGTATGCTACAATGATTGAAGGTACTATGCCTCATCTTTAAATGGTCCACCATGAACGACTTCAACTACCATACATGAGAAAACAAAAGAACGGATATGGTCGAAAGCGTTGAAACATTACAGAATTGGCTCCATCTTACCTATTCGCGAGGCTGACCATTGTGAACGTTTTGCCTTACATCAGTCCTATTCGGGCTGGGTGGAATGAAAAGCAAGTAGGTAAGGGACAGCAACCAAACATAAGATTAAACCAAGATATCCGTACATGACGAAATTGAAATTTTGCTAAAGAATAAATAGCACCCCACGATAGACTCGATACCCATTCTAATGCCTTAAAAGCCCAGCTCTTTTTGGCTGGAATTATAAAGGTTTTCTCATGCAGCCCGAGTTGGACGGTGGAAATTGAAATGATATAAGTGTCAAGTCGCCAGAGTCATAAGTGCAGTGTCAACAAAACCTAGAACTTACATATCAACAACACAGGAATAACCAAGAATCAACGACGAAACCGTTTTATATCACACTCCCACTTTTTCTTCACAGCCAAGTACAACCTCAACGCTACGCGAGCATCAATAATCTAGGAAGACCATATCATAACAACATATTAGCACAGTAAGAGAAAATAACTCACTGAATCGTGTTCGCCCTGTTGAATATCAATTCCGAGGACAGCCCTGGCCAACTTTTTCAGTGACGGAACCTAAAACATAAAGCACTCCAGACTGATGTGAAACCACTAACACTTAAAGGCACGGTTCACGATAAAAATGACTACTGAGTTCTTCCCTTAGGAATACTCAGTGGACCCCAAAGGTAATAGGAAGGACCCTCTCGCGCCCAAAAACCAAAGAATATGTTGGAAGCCCTGTTCCCGGCTCGCGCGGCCTTCCCGCCTCTCGATCGATGTCACGTCAGACGAGTGTCGAGCGATACAGAATGCAATTATTCGTTCAAGGACCCTTCCACAATCAGCTGATCGCCGAGTGATGAGGCGATGTTTTCCTCCCACTCTTTTTTCCTCTGTTATTCTTTTTGCTGCCGCAACCCTTATCATTTCCTACCCCCAAAAGGCTAAAAAAAGGTGAGCTAATTTTGCTGTTACTGGGTTTTTTTCTGTTTACTTATGCTTATAAGTGAATGAATTTTTGCTTACCGTAGTCAGTTATTTGCACCAGGACCTGCACGTACGCAATGCCCCACATTTTATAGTTCGTCCAAACACCTCACTCTTCATTCTTCTGGTCTCATTCTCGTCCTGCCCCCTTTTTATCGACTTTTCGATGCCTTTTTTCACTTTAGAAACAACGATTCACACAGTTCCTTCGCCACCCCTATTTTCCATCTTATCTTCCATTTTTCGTCATAATATGGGTTAAACAAATTTATCGTGAACTGTGCCTTTAACATGGGGGAGCTATTATAGAGCATCGCTTACCCCATTGCAATTAGCCATCTTACGCAACAGATGGCATCTCGCTGTGTCACGAGTTAGCTTACTGTTGTGATGGAAATTCAAAACCTGAATGTTTTTCACTGAAGAATAATGAAATGTGTTTTAGTTTTTGAAAGTGTTTTAAAAATAAGTCACCCGAAAGTCATTGTTCAAAGCATGGCCAACAACAATACGGTCTTTCAGGATTTTAGCCACTTCCATTTGAACAACATCAAAGGGCAAGCCTAAAATGACAGTCATCAGTGAAAATAGAAAAGATTGAACAAGAGGCGAACACCACACCTTTGGCGATGTTTTCAGGTCGGATACCACTGACACTTGTACGAAAATCTGTGACTCGCTCCCTCGGTTTCACATACTTGTCGTAGACGATTTTTCCTTCCTGAAACAAATGAGAAATCGTATTATTGTAAAACATGTACCAGGACTCGAACTGATCACAAAACGATGCTTGCTGCAAAAACAAAAAATTCTCAAAACACACGAATTCCGACTACCTACGATAGAGTTGCTACGAATTCTTGAATTAGCAAAGAGGGAAAGTCTTATTACATATTGTACTAACCCTAACCAGCGCGTGAGAGATGGACTAAAGATGATGTACCTCATTCACAATTGATACTCTAGCAAGGAGATCGTCCGAACCGTCCGTTCCACCTCCAACGTACTCACAATCCAAGGCGATTACATGCGTGGCATCACCTCTAAAGCAAAATTGTAATCGATACAAAACTGTAGTAAAGGAAATTATTAAAACTAACAGAGTTCTATCATGAACTACAACAGGTATGTCGTGTCCGCGTTTGGAAGCAGGCTCCTCCTCCTTCTGCATCCCTTCAAAAGCCTCTTGCAGTCTTCGCTTTCGCGATTTGCCTTTCTAAAAAATACCGTTACTACAGCAGTTCTGGAAGCTACTGCATTCAGGAGCTGTTTCCTCAACTGGATTTTTCAGAGAAAAACATCTACGTGGTAGAATCATCAAGCGGAGGTTTACAGAAAGCATCCGAATTTGGACAAGAAAGGTCATTCACGCTACATATTCGCAACAAAAGCTTGAAACTGATCGAGAGTGCGGGAAAGAGAAGTGTTTGATTGGTATCGAAATGATTAGCTGTATTAGGCTTCCGATTACGGTCCAACGGTTGAGGTAGTTCACGGAGCACAGCATGATCGATAACACGGAATTCTATAGGTTATTTCAGGCTTCAACGGGCTTCAAAACGTTACAACTTGTCTGGATGATAAAGCTTTTGCGATCTTCAGTTTCTATTACACCTATTCCAAATTTGGGATGAAACTATTTTCGTTCACGAGGATTATTCGCATGACTACAAATTGTTGAAAACTTGCTGCCGTGTAAGTAGGTTGGGCGGTAACATGTTGCTAGGGTTAGCCGGCAGAAAAGTGAAATCTTTTGTATCTGAGCCAAAATGAGGAAACTGACACTCGGCAGTAAGACAGCAGCTGGAAAACCCAATCAAGGCGGACTACGATATGATACAGCAACAGTTTCGTAATGGAGGTCTTAGGATAACAGAAGCGCATCAGTTTCGTAATGGAGATCCTAGGATAACAGTAGCGCATCGTTACGAAATACAAAAGCGCAACCTATGGACAGTTAAAGTGTATCCTATGGATTCCAATAGTAACGAGTAACATGAAGTATAACGGTGTTAACTAATTGATGAGCCCCCTAAAGCTGGCTGTTTCCACATAACAAGAAATCCTCTAATCATTTGCAATTAGCCAACTACAAGTAGGGTCAATAGGCTACCAGCCAATATTCCCTGAAGAGCTGAACCTCCCAGTCCATATATTTCTAACACCTCTCAACCTTCGTTGGTGATAGAAAATATGTTGTTTCTCTCGAATTTTTCAAAAATAATGGCGAGGGAATCTTCATGAAATATTTAAAATAAACAAAGAGATATAAAGTTGACTAGAGAGCTGATGCAAGCACCACCGAACAGCTCATAATTTTGCAAACTTTTGGGCCACTATATTAGATCGCCAACTTCCAAAAAAAAGACGCTGGAAAATTTACTTACGGAACTTCGTTATCTTGTAATCTCTCTAGGTTGCCGGTTTCAAGGTGAAATATCAGTGAAATGCAGAATCGTAGCATTCAAAGTTCCTACCTTAGCTGAATTCTGTACTGATGGTGTCACATCCATGTCAGCTTCTGCACGAGCAGCGTCTGCCTGCTGTTCCTTCAGCTTCTAAAAAATCAGCAGTGAAGAAAGCTTGCGAACTAAGAAGAACCAACATAAACTGACCAACCATCTGTAAAACTTTCCAAGCAGGAGACACATCTTTTGGGTCCACATGTAATGCAGCGCCTTTCACTTTTACGTTAACCATATCGCAGCTGTAACTGAAACGAAATAATAGCAAAACTTGGCAAAATGGCATGGATGAGACGTGTAGATTACCGGGCGCCCCAAGAGTACAGCGCTGAGTACGACGCCGACGCTTGACGCTGTACTATGAACGCTTCCACTAGCTTCCTTAATTTAATAAAAAAAAGTAGCAAATATAGCAAGAGAATTGAGATAGCACCAAAAAAGGAGTGGGAGATGCCTAGCGTTAAATATGACGGGGGGAAAGGCTCATCCGACTTCGATTCAAAACTCTTAAAGGCCATCACACTTATAGATCAGAGCAAATAGGGTTTTAGGACTACGATCATGGCCAGGGATGCTTGAAACTACGATCCTAACACTCTAGTTAAAGTAAAATATCACAGCAAAGGAACTACATCTCGATATAGGCGTTTAGAATGAGCAGGTGACGTGTTGTACGTAATTACACAAGAAATCCCACGTTTTGCGACATTTTGGGAGATCAGGATTTAAGGAAAGCTTTCTCATTGAAGGTTTTCTGCTGGGCTAATGCTTGCTCGTGGTCTTGTGAGAGGTTGTGAAACAGTTCAGTGGTCCATAACTCGATCGGTTTCTTCAAAATATCCTAAGCCCAAACCACGGCATTACAGGTGGGCCTAGAAATTTAAGATTTTTTCCAGTTTTTTTAAAGAAAGAATGTCTTATGCAATCTCATCCTAGTTAAGGCGGCGTCTCTTCGAAGCTGCTGTTGCACCTGTACTTCCTGAGAAGCTGCCTGTTTGTACTCCGACTTCCTTTAGTAGGCACAATGAATTTGAGGTGGGCTCAAATTTAAGCATTATTTTTCATGCATACTCAGATTTGTTCATGCACCTATGGCGATGTTTTTACTCTTTTTTGGATAGCTATAGTTACATAATATAGAATTGAGTCTCCGAATATTTATGACAATACAAGCTTTCGTATTGGCTTCGCAGAACTCCCGTGCAGCTGAACTTTTACTTAATATTATCATCCAAATCAGACAATTGTTCTGCTCATGTTGACTATGCAAAGCTCCCACTCTGGGACGTGCATTTGAAAACACTTGCTTGCTATAAATTTAGTGGTACTATCTTGTAATCGCAGTCTCAGCGAAGAAACTGATCTTGCGCGATACTTTAAAGGCACTGTTCACGAAAAAATGGTTTCGCANTCTCAGCGAAGAGACTGATCTTGCGCGATACTTTAAGACCTACATCATGAAAGAGGTGTTCCTTTTTTGACTAGAACTATTGACTTTCCCCACCAGATCTCATTAGAGTCGGTCAATGGAGTTGATCCGGATCACTGATCACTACACTAATTTTGCTTCGTTTTGTTTATGACCACACCAAGGGTGCATCACATACCTCTCTAAAAAAACTGTCATAGATAGTATAAGATTCTGAACCTATAAACAAGAGGCCTTCCCGCATTATGTTATATTTTCAGTATGACGAAGTGGAACTGGCTTTAAGTCGGTTAGTGAAGAAATGGTTGATTTCGGAAGAATTCAGAGTTTTAGCAGTCTGTCAGTTTCTGCCTGTACCGGGACGAACATTATGGCTAACTAAGAATCAGTAGGTTCTCACTTCAACTGCAGAATTTTTGGTTTTGCCTGCCTTCCTGATCCCATTTTCTTTTGGACTTTCGCTCACTTATACTCATCTTTTTAGAACACATTGGTTTTTTCCTCTACGCCATACACAGTGTTTGTTTAGGTTACGAATAAAGGGATTGGAGTTTCGTTCGTATGGAAACCGTATCATGAAAAAAGTATTCGAAGGTATGTCAACTTTATGTTACGTTTAAGCGTTTTGTCGTTCTTTGTTCTCTACAAGCTTCGGTATATATGCTAGAAAAGGCTCCCGAGAAACATGTTCCCAAAAGCAGATGCACATCGTATGAAATCCTGGTCCCTTCGAATCAGAAGTAGAAGTTGCTCAAGTTCAGTTAACTTGCTTCTAGTCCAAGGGGGAAAAACTGATAGGAGGTAACTTTTCACTGATCGTGCGGTCTCAATCTACCGTTCCCTGTTTGGGAGAAAATCTCGCAGTTGTGACAATCCTTGGTGTCTTCCATGTCTATAGCTTCCACGATATAAGGCTGTAACCATGTTGCCAGTTGTTATTGAAAGTTCATATCACTGATTTAGGCACGCCGCTCTCAACACTGAACCCTCTGCTGGTTGGTACAAATGCCATACTGTGTGGAAAAGATTTGTCGGCGCTCAAGACTATAAACGATGAGGCGGAAAAGATCAGCTGGATGATTCCTTTAGGTTAGCACGACCATTTGCTGAGAGTTTTTTTTAGAACTCTGTCACTTATTGAAGAGCTCATATTGTACGTTTTTCCAGCATGCGTGGCAGATTCACGTTTGATGTCAATGGAAGAGGTGAAAGAAATCTCTCGAGTTGGTTCACTGAACGATCATCGAGTAGAAACGATCCAAATTCTAACTTCACAAATTGGACAGCTTTCACAAACCCTCGATTCACAGTCTCTTCAGCTCACTTCTGCTCTCGATCAGCTTGCGCATCGCCCTTCATAGTGAGGATTATATATTCTGTAATTTTTTCTAGGTTTTTAGTCATTTTAAGTTGAATTTGAATTCTTCTGTTATGAATGTTGAGGTTCGTAGTTGTTGATATGTTATAAATTTATTTACGATCTCTATTATTCTCAACGACTCCAATCTATAAATTACTAGGCAAATCTGTGTTTGTGTGAATTTTTTTGCATTTAGGTTTTAAAAGTGGAAAACTGTCTAGCTTTTAAAGCGATTCCTGGTCTCGAAAGTTTGGGAAGGGGTGCAGAATTCTCAACTTTTAAGAAGCTCCATCAAGCTTCTTATCATACTAAACTAGTCGCAATACATTTCAATGAAAATCATAATTTGAGCTTATATTTGCCGAACTATCATTCCATCCGCTAGCATATAGAGAAAAGTAGGACACATTGCCACTCAGAGATCTTTTGCAAGCAAAATGCTTTGCGAGCAAGCCAGTTAATACAAAAAATGTCGCGTGTCTAGAAGAAACCCTAAAGGATTTTTCCATCTTAAAGGCAGCCTAAAAGTAAGAAAGTTGGTGCTTTGCGATATGGTAGTAATCTTTTTTTCAGCAACTTCTTTCCTGGGTAATTGAGGCATAAACTCCGTTAAAATCACAGCCGAAACCGTAGCCGATCAGGGAGCAACCGCTTTTTTTCAGTAATTCGATCCCTAGTGAACTGGGACATACGACTTGTAGTAAGAGCACCGCCGAAACCGTAGCCGATCAGCTAGTAACCGCCTTCTAAGCAACTCCTTCCCTACGTAAGTGGGCTATTCGGCTTGTGGCAAAAGCGTAGCTGATACTGCAACAGTGAAGGCGACATTCGAGGAGCGACTTGTGTGGTCTTCGTATGTGTCCGACACTTGCGCTTGTGGTAATCATGCTCCAAGATCTTCTGTACGCCAGCAAGTGGGACTTTGNCCGACCCTCGAGTGTTGCATAGATCGGTCGTTCTCGTCGAGTGTCGATCCGGGACTTGGTCCCGAGATCTGCGTGCGTTGTAGGGCGCCACTTGCCCCTACACCACTGACGCCACTTTTTAATACATAAGGTATTCATCATAGAGCGAACAAAAGTCTTACATTAATCTTGAAAGTAGACTACTACCCGCCACTGTTTTTCTTTGAGCGAAACTGCAATCGCTCCAGGTACCCTCCGCGATTCAAATCTCGGCGAATCGTTCAAATTCCTCTTTTTCTATCTTTAACTTATCTGCCCTGAGCGACAGCAGCGTTTCCACGTTGTAATACATAACAAACGATGGTTAGCTAGGGCTCAGATGATAGACGGTGCTAACCAGTCGTCGATCTTTCACCTACATTGATCAATCCAAGTTACATCACATGTAGACCGGCAGAAAGATTCTTTGGTTTCCTTTGCTGAGAATGGAGACACTCTTCAATCTATCTGGAGAACATCTAAAATCATGAGGGTGAATGGCCGAGAATTGTTATGACCTCCAGGAATGTATATTTTTATACACTTTACGCTCCCTCCCTTTTCCGTAAGACGCTTAAAATTCAGCTAAATGTGAAGGTTGGATCGAGGTTTTGATCCCCAGCCCACAAGATTGGTACCGGACCTCCTGGTAGTATCACATGTTCGCCGTAGTGGAGAATGAGAAGCAGAAAAAAGTAATGTTCAAAAGTGAGTAAACCCCGTAAACAAAGGTATGTTTTTATCCTGCCAAACGAGTCTGATTCCGATCACTCGACTCTTTATGGATGCTTGGCCTGGGAGATTATCCGAATCTTGCTCAAAGTCCTATTGAGGTGTAGTGAAGCACAGCGCCTCCAGCTACTGTACTGCCCTCTTAATCCGATTGTACAGAGAGCATTGTCGATGACATCTCGAACTACATTTGTTAACCGGAGTACTGATTAAAACAACCTCTTTCAACGACTACAGGTTAGGTCTTTGAATGAGTTTAGCGGAATTCATTCTTCGAAACCCTGCTTTAAAGTTGGACTTTAAATGAACTTGAGAAAGCAGCAAGAGAGTGATCACCAAGAGAGAGGGTCAGCTGTACTATAAAGTGAAACAAAACCCACAGAAACCATAAGGTTCCTTGAGTTGAAAGGGAGAATCGCGGTGGAATTTTGATATTTTTCTTAATGGACCTCTGCTTAGTTTTCTTTTGGATTTTTCAGACAACAGGGCTAAAGAAATCTTTTGTTATGAGTTGGTTCATTCTTGGAAGAGTGAGCTTAGTTATTTCCCACAGAATAAAATGGGTCATGGATAAGGCTAAACACCGGAAGCTTTCCTTACAACATCATACCGTCCAGGACACGGCCCCAAGTTCTTCCATGACTGCCTTCCACCAAATGTGAAAGCTGTTCAAATTTTTCTGGAATTATTTGTCATTAATCTCATTTTGAGCTGTCGGAGGATGAAGTTTTGACCTTAATGAATCCTGTTTTCGGGATGTGCTGTGTACTGGACTTCCATTCAGAATCGTAGTGGCGTATCGAGTGTAGGGTCAACTCCACTTTCTCAGACTAGTCCAGTACCAATCATCCAACCCCGAGGAATGTGAGGCTTTTTTGTTCTGAGCGAGTACCGATCGGAGATTCGACCCCTCCACTGTTAATGTGATAGAACCCATCAGCTCTTCCCATATGACTTGGCTTCATACTGAAATTAACATGGTTTGATGATTAAGCAGTATCACGACTTTCATGAACATGTATACCAGGTCGTTCAGAAAGTATCTACACAAAATTTCGCAAAGTTTTATATTTTTTCTGGAAGCTTCTGCATGTTTCTATGGGAGGACCCTAGCTTAGCTTACCCCCTCTCTCTTGCCTTTTTAACCGGGTGATGTCTGAATTATCACTCCACACTTGACACTTCTTCTTCACGAGCTCGAATCTGGCCACTTCGCCGCACGCTTCTTTTAAACGCTTCGAAGCTGGAAACAAGAGGGTAGATGATGGCGCCAATACAAGTCAGTAGTGTCCTTCTGTGGTATTTCTAGGGGAACTTCTGGTACATACCAGAAAAGTCTGGACTTTTGTGAAATTTAAGGAGAATACTTTCCGGGCACCGTGATAGCTTTTTATCCTTCAACGTTGTTCCTCTTTCGAACCGCTAGCTTCCCCAAACTTGTGGTTACACCGAACATCCTTGCTTCAACGGCCGTCAGGAGTCATCCATGAACCAGGGACGTGAATCGCCTATTGTGTAGATCGGGTAAAAGATATGTTTTCAGTCTGTAATTCCTCCTAATATTATTGGATTACTATCTTCAAGAGCCAAAGAGTGTTGTGCGCTTAAGAATTGTTTTATTTTTTCATTCCTACTCCTCACCTTTTATCCTCACCATTACCTCTCAGATACTTTCCTGGTTTTTTTTTTCGGGTCATGTTATGCAAAGGTTTTCGATGCACTCGCAACTCTGACCACCCGTGAGGGAGAATCAATCAAAGCGGACTCCTCGGTGGAGCTCCGCCTCCGCCTGACATCGACTACCTCGCTCTCAGATCCGATCAGTCGACTGTGATGTTGTGGACGAGTCTCATCTGTCTTTTTGCCTTGTGCCAAGCACAAGAAATCAAACAATTGCCCGGGGTTGGCTTTGAATTGAATTTCAAGCACTATTCCGGTTTCTTCCAAGTCTCCGACACACATCTGCTTCACTATTGGTGAGTTATCTTTGCAAAGACTCAAGTTTCTCAACTATTCAATCTGATTCCCTTATCGATCAACTTAAGGTTCGTTGAGTCTCAGAATGAACCCGAAAAGGATCCGCTGATCTTCTGGTTCAACGGTGGACCAGGTTGTTCCTCGTTGGACGGCCTTCTCAACGAGATGGGACCGTATGTGGCAAACTACGACGGAAAGAGCCTCAGGGAAAACCCTTACTCCTGGAATAAGGTAGGTACTTGATAACCTGTTTGGTGTATTTCTCAGCTCTGGAAAGCGGTATGGTTTTCAGATGGCCTCTGTGGTATACATCGAGTCCCCAGCAGGAGTCGGATACTCCTATTCCACCGACGGGAACATCACCACTAATGATGATCAGACTTCACTTGAGAACTACGAGGCCGTCAAGGGATTCTTCAATGTAACTTCAGGATGTGTTTCAAATTAGACATTGGTCATTAAAAACAATCCCAAATCACAGACTTTCCCTCAATTCCGACATCACGCTACCTACATCATGGGAGAATCATACGGAGGTGTGTATGTACCGACACTGACGGCAAGAATCGTTGATGGCCAAAAGGACTTCCCCATCAACCTGAAGGTAAGCCTGAACCATAGTAGAGTTATGAATTTGGCAAATGACTGAAAGTTTGTCTTGCTAAAGGGAATGGCACTTGGAAATGGTTATGTAAATGAGAAGCTGAATATCGACACTTCCATTCGCTATGCCTACGGCCATGGGATCATCGATGAAAAGACATGGAACACCCTCGAAAGGGATTGCTGCAAAGGCTGCATCGATTCCTGCGATTTTACTCAGGTACGAGACCTTCATGTTGTTGTTCTCTCCCAGATGAGGTCCATAGTTGTGACATGACCTGTTCGTGATTTAGGTATCTGGGCATGTTGCTCAGTTGACCCTGATAGCGATACCCACGATTATGCCTTTTGTTTTTACTATCAAGGTAATAAATGACCCAAACTATGCGCTCTTCCGTAGATATCACCATAAAGATGGCAGGAAGTGAATGAAAGAGAGTCAATTACAGCAGTGGCAAGGGTAGGTTTATTGAAAAGGGCATCTGGAGGAGTTGGGTAATTTACGTGGGATCAAGGAAGTTCTTCACAAAATTGCTCTCCTCAGCAGCATCTCCATTTCTCGCCCTTGCCAATGTCAGCCCGATTTACCACCAAAAGGAATCAAAAGCAATCCACCCATAATTAGGCTAAGAGGTAAGATGATAGAGTTGAAAATCCTAGGATGATCCAATACCACACCTTCCACTCCTAGGACTGAATGAATTGTAGTGAAACGTAGTCGGAAAACCCCCCGGAAGGCTAATTCACCAGTGATGTGTCCGAGTTGTTTTCAATCGCAAAATTGAATCGGAGTCCGGGTTTCAGGAAAGGTATACAAGAACCCAGAGGCATTCCAACTCATCGTTGATGTTCGAGCCTGTTATCGTTCTTTCCTTGAAAATATGTTAGTCAGCCTAGACATTAAGTGCCATAGAATTTTGAATAAACTTGAGCTCAAGGCCATCGTAATCTCAGCGTGGCCTCAAAATATCATCTAGAAAGAATTTGATTTGGTCTTTTGAAATCGTAATTGAATGATGCTTGACAACCACGCTTGGTTTGTTAGGTGACCTGAGTTGATGGGATTGGGGCTGGAAAGATTTCTGACCCTAGAAAAGCAGATGATTGCTTCTTTTGCCCCTCGATATGGGAGAGGACTGTTGAAGGGCCGGATAAGGGTACAGTTCAGAGGAGATACTCAAACGGAAAGGTACTGAAACGATGCTGCGTGCGTGAAGGCGAAGAGCTCTAATGGAGTCACAGGTGAATCGCCCCNCCCCCCCCCCCCCCCCCCCCCCCACTTGATGGCGTGCGCATATTAGGGCGGTTGGAGTCGAGGAAGATTCGATTCTTTGAGAAGATATCAAAACCACCACTATAATTGAATATCTCTCACTTCTCGTTTAACATTTCTCGACAATTGGCAATAGTGGGCGAGCATGTCGGTTCAAACCTTCGAGAACCTACCCATCGAAGCGTAATCGCAATTTTCATTGGAGTAAAAGGTTTTTGAATGAATTGGGAGCGAGATTCTTGAGAGAACCATGCGCTGATCATTTCATATGGGAGAGTAATGCCAACATGGAACTTCAGGTTACCGGTCATTGTGCCACGATGGTCGAGGACATCTTCCAGTTCCTTTGGGCTGGTGGACTGAATCCCTATGATCTGTACAGAGACTGTGACCCGAACCCGGCAATCAACGGTGAAAGGATGACCCATATGCTTAAAGGTGCGTTTCAGTACTTGTTGGGTGTAGGTGTTCTTTCGATCTTTTCAATCCCTTTTCAGGAGTTGCTGCCGGTTACAAATCGTCTGTACTGTCCAAGAAAAAGAACGCCGATCTGATGACCTTCTTGAGGGTCAGTGAACTTGATCTCAGCGTACCCACATTGCCGTTGAAAATTTATTTATCTATTCATTTATAAAATGCTTTCTTTCAAGGCACACGAGCCCCTATACGGAGATGCTCCATGTCTCAACGACACAGATGTGATAACATACATGAATGATGCCAAAGTTCGAAAAGCCCTTAACATTCCTTTCAACCTGCCTAAATGGGATATCTGCAGGTAAATTGAATTGGTCTGGTAGGGTTATGAGATTTACCGAATCGTTTCAGTAATCAAGTCACTAGCACCTATCAGAAGCAGTACGGAGACATGGCACCGTTCATTAAGAAGATCGTCGCTGCAAATGTCCGAGTACTCCTTTACTATGGAGACACTGACATGGCATGCAACTTCATGATGGGTCAACAATTCGCCGATCAACTCGGATTGAAGGTGCGTTGTCACTTCTGTTTCCTCAGACATGAACAGAGAAGAGCAAGCGCTTCACTCAGCCCAGAGCCTTGTTGTTTTGTACCATACCTAAGGTCTCCACCCAAGTCCGCAGCGGTTTTTGTGTGTATTAGCCTGTACCGTGAGGATCAGCCAAGAGGAACGCCGAATTCACCACGACAGCTGAACCTAGTAAAAATTAAGAAGACTGAGAAAGGAGAAGGCCTCGACTGGCTTGAACCTGTTTGAGTCCTCAGCCTGCGAGCTCTGCTTGTGATAGCCCTCGTTGCTCTTACACTGCATCCACTTGGTCGAAAGGCTACCGCTCCCAAATGGCACATATTCCAGCGAACACTCGGCAAAACTCCATGGAAGTTTGATCGTCAAATCGCTGGATTCAAGACGCTATTCAAAGGACTCACCTTCATCACAGGTACGTGCCCTACTGTCGAACAGCTTCAGATCACTTCGAAAACTTTCCACTTAGAAGTTTCATTATCGTATTCCAGTACGAGGTGCGGGTCATATGGCACCACAATGGAGAGCTCCTCAGATGTACTACGCTATTCAACAATTCTTGCTCAATCATCCTATTTAATCTAAGTTCTAAAAATAAATATTGGAATATTTCCTTGAAATTTGTTGACTGTTCACATGAGGCAAAGGATTTCTCGCGCAAGGAAGCTAACAATACTTTTTTTCATTTGCAACAATAGTTTCAAAATTGTAAAAGCCCTCACGAGTTTTTGGCCTATGTGAAGTCTGAAGACGTAATATTTGTGCTCAGATTAGATGTATTGTTAGCTTTTTTTAAAAACCTTTCTATCGTAACAATGCAATATCAACTGTCAATCGTTTACCACCAAGAGATCAGTGTAGAAACATGGCACAGGGAGATCTAAAGGTCCAGAAAAAGATAAACATGCGAAGCTTTTGAACTTCATCCACCATCTACTTACTTCTAAATTCGATGGAGATGAAACCAACGAATCTGATAGCGATTGTGACACAGAAGATAATACATTGACTAAAAATGCACTTTCGAAAGGGGTTTCAACGAAACGACAGGAATACACAAGATGTGGAAGTGTGGGTAACACCCCTCGACTTTTACGAACTGTTCTTTTCCAAAGATCCGCTGGAGATGGTTGCGACACAAGCGAATATAGGACCATTAGAAAAATCATTTCTGCAAAGGGACAGTATTAAGGAATTTTCCGGCCTCTACTTGCGAATGTCGCTCTCTCCTGGACAACCAGAGGATCTACTGGTCACTGAAACCAAGAAGTTTGGCTAGAAACAGGCGTTCCTTAGGCGGTGACATTATGCTAAGAGATCTTTTCGAATAAATCCAACGACACATACATTTTGCTATAATAGCAATGCAGATAGAAGCAACCAAATGCACAATATTCATCCTATTGAACTACTTGATTGCTAAGTCCAATGATGTACAAACCGGCGTAGGAGTTGTGCATTGATGGGTCTATGTTCCGTTACGAGTGTCCTCCTGGCAGTATAGTGGCGCCAAATTTGCAGGTTCGGGATCAAGCTGTTAAACCCATTGACGACCATGCAGTCCACATGTGGACTGCACTTTTTCGGCCATGTGGGACCATGCAGCCCACATGTGGACTGCATGGTCCCAGTTGTACTACAGTTGTATTTTTTTGTTTTATTCATCTGTATTTCCATTTTTTACAATTTTTCTTCTCGAAACATTACATCAGGCCTAAACCAAACTACATACAGCGCGGTTCTTCTAATTTTACAATTGTGAAGGTGTTTTTTCGAAGGAGTACATTATCTCGGTGAATTCTTCGTTCGTTTAACAACTTCAAAAAATGAGATATTTCTAAAAGACGGTCGTCATTAACATTTTTGGTGTTATCGACCAAGCGCAAAGCTCCCAACGCAACGCAAATAAAAGTTCCCTAAAACGATTTCTGGTACTGATTGAACTCATAATTGAATGACCACTAGAACGAGTGCCGGTTCTACAATAAAGATCAATATTCACTCAATTCAATGTGGGCATTCTTACCAAGCCCATTTGAAGGAACATTCCTAAAAACTTATAATTTTCTCTTATAAACTTCAAAAAATGGTCATGCTGGACCATAAAGTCCACATGTGGGCT